TCTGACGGGGCCATCCCCTCCAGGCCCCTCCTGAGCCCCTTCTGAGCCGGCGAGGACACGTGTTTCAAGGGATTATACATCACATCTGTCAATTTATTAATGGCGCCTATAATGTGTTCAGCAATTTCCACATCTGTTGCAATATTTTATGAGAATTATGTGACTTCTTCCTCAAATCGTAGGCGAAAACGTACTTTAGCTTAAACAGGATATACACAGCGCGCAGTTTGTAAACCTTGAATTCAAGTGTAGCAGTCCGTAGCTTTCAGAGTTATTCGGCAATTTAGAAACTTTTCTAAAAGGGGAAGATACTCCTTCTTCAAGTATAAAATTTAAAGAAGGGCCAATTTCCTACCAAATGACTACAATAAATATTTTTTCGTGCATGTTTTCCATAAAATATATTTTAATTTATAAAGGCTGTCAAAATCCATGATGTAAATGCATACTAATAAGTAACCACTTTTTACAATACATACTTTTTATTAACTGTCAGAAAGAAGCTCATTTAAGGCCGGCATCCTATCGTGACTAAAATATATTGAGATTAGCCTGTACGATTGTCAGCATTAGAAACATACCTAATTAATATGTTTGAATTGAAAACGTATTTCAGAATTCCGGGTGACGTTTCATGAGATTGAGAATCGACTTTATCTTATTTATAAAGCTCATCTACCTGCCAGCTATTAGCAGTGCTTTAACATGCCTTTAAGGCAGTGGGGATTGCTGGCCAAAATGAATAGTTAATAGGCCAAACTTCGGGATATTTGAATGTTTGTGTCTGGACAACGGTTTTCTTGCCTAGTCAGGTTCTGGACCTGCACCATTGGCCACATAGCGTATATTACCCTTCCTTTCTGAATAGCATGTTCCATCTTTCCTCTGTTACGCGCCAGAAAAAATTTTGGATTAAGGCAAATATTATAATAAACGGCTGTTATCTTTGACCACAAATAATATACAGACAAAGATGCATTTACTGTCCGCTTATTGACAACTGGGCTGAAAAGATTAGTTTAACTAGGCTACCTTGTTTCACATTTATTCACGATGTAAAAGTATGTCGTGTCATCCAGTTTTTTTCCGGACATGCAACTTAATCAATACCAATTATTTGAAGAAAATCCCCAGAACAAACGGAAACGAACATTTAATCTATAGACAGAAGTATTCGGAACTGCAACAACATCGGACATCTGTAGCGCATTAAGAACTAACATTATCTTCACCAATGACCCACCACTTACAAAAATAATTCTTGCAAACAGCCACACACACAATTCTTGTCGGTGGAAATTAAGCTGCGGGTTAGCAGCCTGGGGTGCAGGACAGAAGATTTTTGATTGGGTTCCAGCAGCCCACATGACATCTCGGCTGCTAGGCGACACAGAAGGTACGTCATCGAGTTTATATAAACTCAGGGATGTGATGTTTAGAAGCAGAAACAAGATGGGTTGCGGTGTTGGTTTTCTCAAATTCCTCCTCATCGGTCTCTGTGTTCTCTACGGGGTAAGCAATGTTGAGCGTAAGTGACTAAATGTTGAACAGCGAAATGTTTAAGTCGAATATCAACGTGAAAATTTTCTTGCTTAAGCTGTGTAGCTTATAAACCTGTATATCCTGTTCCGCTTTATCCACAGTGACTGCTAGCCGTTTTCTATCGGGTAAGAACACTATTATTCATATATTATGCCTCAAAATAGAACAGAAAAACGTTGAAAGCGTAGTCCACAGTTAGACTTGCGTGGTTAAGCTGGCAGCGTATCAAACTGCACATACCGCCCTGCCGCATTTGCGCCTATTCTTAACTGAAATTAAATTTAAGGCTATTAAGTACACTCTGCGATTTCATCAGCGGATTTTATTCCTACTTATACGCTCTTCAGCAACTGGCCTATGAATTACTGAAATCTTTTAAAATATTTCAACGGTCTCTTAAGTTGTCTAAAGTTCTAAATAATTTTCGCTTTGACGCTTTCTATTTTGGGGAATATCCTTAAGTACTTTTAAAATCTAGGGCAAATCAGGGCGTCCATAGGGTCAAATTGGTCAATTCCCTTTTTCGAAATTTTCTTAGCCGATTAATTCCGGTATTTAGTTCAAAATTTTAAATAGACTCTTATAGCAAAATCGACAGTTTATTCTAATTTATCAGCTCAAACCATCTGTAAAAGCATTATGTGTCCGTATCACTTGGATGCATAAACTTTTCACTTAAATCATCTAATTTTCACTCATCTAACCAGTAACTGAAGTGAAGTGTCTTACGTACTTCTTGGCTACCAAATTATCACGAACTTTAGTATTAGGGCCCTGGTAGCTCTGACGACTATTTTACACGCCTGCAACTTAGGATTAATATATTATATTGTTTATGTTAACGTAGATGGCACAGTGTCTATCTAATAATATTGTCACAAAGAGGTATACTGGGCGACGCTTAAAGAGGTAGTGCTACTTTATTCAAAACTCGTAAGGCTACAAATAATTCCAAAAGCAAACCAATATGTTTGCATAATCAAATGAGTATTATGATTAAAAAAACAAAGCGTGCCTCCGCAGTCAAATAATATGTTAAATTTCTGCCTGAAACCACTACAAACCCTAATGATTTTAAATTAAAATGAGCAGTTTTTGATAATATGTCTGCTAAGGCCATTGTAAAAACAAGT